TGTCTTAATGGGCCAGGCCCATTATAGTATTTGACAGGCCCAAATCCCCCTAAAAATCCCTAAAGGACGAATTGGTGAATGCTTGCTTCCTTTTTCTGAATTTTTACTTTGTATCGATTCAATGGTTTCATTCAAGAATTAGGGTTCTTCTTTCCCAAGTTGGTTTTTATGAATCCGACGAGTATTTTCTGTTTCTAAATTGTGCACTTGATTATAGTACTCTTATTATACTACCTCTGGTGCTCTGCGTCGTCTCCGTCCATTGGGGGGATGTTGCAGATATTATCCATACGCAGTGTCAGTGACTTAGTCCCAAAACCTGAGTGAGTATACTCTCAGACACAAACATTGACTGACTTTTGGTTTGGTTTGTTTTGTAGGACGACGGTCTCTGGGCAGGAGGACATTAAAAAAGAGGTTGTACAACTCGGAGTTGAGCTCTCACTCTTTCTGTAGCTGAATCCATGTTCTTGTTGTGTGATGATATTCATACTATGTTAGGATTCTGCTTTAAGTTATGGAGAGGTGTAATGCCTTACCGTAATCCCGTGTTGGAAAGGCTGCTTCTTGTTATTTATAACGTCTACTCAAAAGAGATCAAACCCAAGAACGGCGTGTATCAGGCTGGTGGCAGCTCGGTGCAGTGGGAATTGATTAGAACCACTTGGGAGGAATTTGCCGACCTAGTCATAGTTTTGCATCGCCTTGATATGGTTCTCAGAAGGAAAGTTAGCTCGTTTGAACATCGATTGGTATCCTCGGCTATTCAAAAATATAAGCAAGATGTGCTGAAGAAGCTAGAGGATAAACTAAGGCCCGCAAACCATGTTTCAAAGGCAAATGGGTTTGCAAGAGAGACTATAAAGACTTACCATTTTTGACTTGTGGAGGCCTCTGTTTGATGAAGAAGCAATATCCAATGAGACAAGGAGTGGGATTCTTGCTGACCTGTTTACGCCTCTTATGGCTGAACCATTGGATAGCAAGATATGGGCACTGCCCGTACCTTCTCCTTACATTCTAGGGTCAGTAATAATTACTTAGCCCATTTGAGAGTTGTGCTTACTCACAAAGTCTTAATTTTGCAGGAAGGATTTTGCAATGCAGGAATTGAAACAGGAGGTTGTGCAACTAGGAGTTGAGCTCTCCCTATATGTGGCTCAATCGATGTTCTTGTTGTGTGATGATATTCGTACTATGTTAGGATTCTGCTTGAAGTTATTGAGAGGTGTATTGCCGCAACGTGGTGGCCCCGTGTTAGAAAGGCTGCCTCTTGTTATTCATTATGTCTACTCAAAAGAGATCAAAACCCAAGAATGGAGTGTATCATGATGGTGGAAAATCGGTCCAATGGGAATTGATTAGAACCACTTGGAAGGATTTTGGTGGCGGAATAATAGTTTTGCATCGCCTTGATATGGAATTCAGACGAGAAGTTAGCGCTTTTGATGATCGACAACTATTGTCGGCTATTCAAAAATATAAGCTACAAGCCCTGAAGAAGCTAGATGATAAATTAAGGCCCGTAAAGGAAGTTATAGAGGCAAATGGGTTTGCAAGGGAGACTATAAGGTCTAGCAGTTTTGACTTGTGGAGGTCTCTGTTTGATGAAGAAGCACTAACCAAAGAGAAAAGGAGTAGGATTCGTGCTGACCTGTTTACGCCTCTTTGGGGTAAACGAGTGCGTAGGTTACTACCCATATTTTCTCCTTACATTCTAGGGTCAGTAATAATTACATAGCCACTTTAAGAGTTTTGCAGCTTACTCAGTACTCAGTCAGCGTACAAAGTTTTCCAGATTTGAC